CACACCGACATACCGACATACCGACATACCGACATACCGACATACCGACAAACACCCAAACCGACAAACCGACACACCAAGTTTCTGCTTTATAAATGAGAGAGATATACGACGTGTACTGAGACAGTGGAAAAGCCTACAGGCTGAAATGATAGAATAGAAGATGATATGGAAGTTTGTGAGAAGGGGTGTAAGGAAGGTTCCAGTTAGGCTAAAAGCCTCGAGAAGATGTTACTTCTCCTCTATCTACCGTAATGAGTGTTTTGCAACTCCTGTCCTATGCATTCAGAAAACCATTTGTACCATCGATACTTGCTCCTGTTAAAGTAGTAGGGTAGATATGAAAAGTCAGTCTTTAATGCCTCCACCTACTTTCTCTTATCTCTATGATATGTTTGAACAGAAGTACAGGTTTTTGACCTAAGTTTGGAATAATGAAGAGCGTTCGAATGTTTTCTGGAGTGAAACCCAACGAATTCGGATAGTACCCATTGAGACTCAAATCGTTCATTCCTCTTAAATGGCTCCTAGCTTTGAACGTCATAGATAGCAAAGGAGAGCTCGAAGGTGCCATAAAGTCTGATTGTAGCAGTCGATAGCAACATTTCATTTAGGAAGTCAGAACTCACATTTGATTCAAGACTATTCAGGATATGGACATATCTATCCAATTACGAACGCCGGAAAGGTTATCACTATGGTATTCGCTCTCTTTGGCATACCATTGGTGTTGCTGGTACTTCAAGATATTGGTAAACTCCTCACAATAACGATGAAGTTTCCATGGTTCCAAACGAAACGAGTCGCTAGGCGTATTTTGAGGTATATCTCCCTTTTCTTTGATTTCGTTCAATCACGGGGAGATAGAAGCTCTCTAATTCACTATACGGCATTGCAGTGCTACAGTAACCGAAGGATAACCTAATTTTTATGGAAATAGATGAGCCTTGGAAATAGAGAACGTTTTTTAAGAGCCATTCATCACATTTAGAAGCTTGTCGCCGATGTAATAGCGGAACTCCAAATACAGTAGAGTAAATGCCTCGTTGAATGAAATATTCATTCCGGTGCTGTAGCTGAAGAGTATAAGCATCCAGCATCTGGCAACTTTCTAATGGAGAGCGGAATGGATGTTACTCACATTTTAAGTTTTCGGAGCATTTACCATCCGCGGCATTCCCTAACTGCGACATCCACTGCGATTTCTTATAGCTACGTATTTAGGCATAGGTGCCATCTGTGAAAAGGAGAGCTTCAGCACCTATGCCTAAATATGTATGTAGCTATAAAAATGTCTTTGTGCCTTTTATTTTATCGTTCCTTCCTGTAGATTCAGCTAGACGACGAAAGTATTAGAAGCAATGAACCCCTCAAGGCTGGAACGGAAGTTTATGAAAGTAGTATGAGCTGTATGTGAGGGGTGGCAATCCAGGAGAGTGCAGCACCCACAACTTTATATATACAAGAAAAATGTGCTCAGCGCAGTCTTAAGAAGGTGCATCACTATCAGAAGCCTAGCAGGACCAAGAACTCTAGACTGTTGGGGAAAATTACAAGGGTTTGCTACAAAGGTTTCAGCAATCCGACTTTGAGAGTATCCCACATTGTTCTTGCTTATAATGTCGGAGTGGAATGTAGAGCGTTCTCTTACATTGCAGATGTTGCACAAAGCAGTCGCTACAAGAAATGAGAGAAATTGAGGCTGCTGAGCGCCGAGATCTGGACATCTTCGACCTACCGGTTCTTGTCGGCCTTTCTCTGATCGTCGGATGGGTAAGAAACGCCAAGATCCTTTCTCAAACCGTTTTTTGCATAGTTGCAATGGTTTTTGCTTCTACATCATGAAGCGCTGCTATATGAACGATTTATCTTTTGTTCTCACGGAACCGTCCACTAAAACATACAAACAGGCTCTGGAAACGTTAAAAGATATAATTATCAGCTCTTTTGTACTTGTAGAGCACTACAAGACAGTCTTAATGGCTGTGTTATGCATGTGTTTTATAAAAAATATGTAATCACGATTTTGTCATCGATTTCGTCGATTTTGGCTGGTCATTCATCTTAAGAATCACGACGACCGACAGTGGCTCCACCGCAATCCCAAAAATCTTCCAATCTTCCATGTTAATAAGAAACGAGCCTGTCTCTGGCTTCTTGTCACGAATAATTGCCAGAATACTTCTAAGACAAGCAGCCGTGAGATTCTTCTGCTCGTCTGCACTTGCTTACGAAGATGGTGTCCAACCTTTTTGACTTAAGGCTGGTATCAGTCGGTTTGACCTGGACGTGTCTTTATTATTACTTTTTACTCTGACTATTATAACAGAGAAAGGCATCACTTTTTCTCAAGTTTTCTGTGATTGATTCCTTTCTGCGATACTGGCGGACTAGACTTTACAAGGATTTCAAACATTCAACACATAGCAGAAGTCATTTTTTGATGATTGGGTCTTTGAGTGCGATGAGCAGATCTCTCATGTATGCAACTTCATGAATAATGCGAATTTCTTTAGGTCCTGCTTTGCTCGATGGTGATGTCCGTCTGGGATCAGAACTGGACGTGGTTGGAGTCATTTTACTTCTTTTTCATATCCTTAAGGTAAAATGTATACTTTCGTAGACGACACCCAGGCCGTTTCATATTGTTGGCATTGTAGTACGGTAGGACTTGGTGACCTTGTGCCTTCATCACCACGTCTCCTTATAATCATGTTTGGTTTCATTCTCGTCGGTCTTTCATTGGTATCTATGGTCATCAATCTACTCCAAACAAAAGTAAGGAAATCTGTTTTTGAAACATTTCCAAACCTTTAATGTCCGAAGAATATTTGCGTTCGCTCACTTTTGGAGGGGTCCACCGTTTTAGATTACTGCTGTAAGAGTTATTAGATAATCCCTGATACAACTAAATAGTGCTCATTCCAGATGAAAAAGACATACGATGCCGGAAAAACTACTCACAATGGTAGTCCAGATCTCCCAATTTTGCTCACTCCAGAGGTTCGAAGTTACTTTCCGCTTTACTCGTTTTGATGGAATGCCGAGTATATCCTGTATTGTATGGCTTTGTAACTGCCTCAATGATTCTCATTTTCGACTTCTTACGTCTGTACTATTCAGAAACAGTGCTGCGTGGATGATCCAATGTCTGAGAGCTTAACGCGATCGACACAAACGAATCTAAGTCTACCGGGCGTGCGACAGGTCTGAATGCATTTTCCCTGCTGAGCTTTCGACTACTTTTTTTGATTGCGCCCCAATTTTTCTTTCTGAGGTCATTCATACTGGCTGTGCATATTAACGTGCATACGAACCTATTTTAGAAAATATATTCTTGCTTCGAGTGTCTAGATATACCTCTATAGTGCGCAGTCGAAACCCAAATTGAGCAGGAGGATAACTCAACTAATTGTGAGTGGAGTTAAGCTCCCCCCCCCCTCCCCTCCCCTCCCCCTCCTCCCCCCTC